TGAGTGCTCACTTTACACGGGTGCCCACTTTACACGGTCTTCCCTTATATATTCTATAAACTATTCCATAGCTTAATGTATAAAACTACGTTTCACATTAAGCAATATGTCTGACGCTAATTTTGCCATAAAAATTATTTTTGAAACACTTTTCATAACTAAAGTCACAACAAATTTGGATTTTTGTATGGGAGCCATGTCTGTATGCTACCTTAATGGTGTGAAACTTTGAGCAGGTTGTTTTTTCACAAAAAAATAACATTCGGAGGGTTTGGAGAAATTTCAACCAAAATTAAGAGTACCTCCCATACAAAATATTCGTTTTTGAGCCAAAAACTGAAAATGTTGCTTTATAATGCATAACGGTAACCACTCTATTAATTGAAATGGTTCTAATAAATAAAGTGGTTACTGCTATACATTTCAATGTAAAAATAGGTGGTTACTTCGGATCGTAACCAAAAACCTATCCAAAAGCACTAACGCGACCCTAATAATCCGTAAATATATTTTTAAATATTATTATTGTTTTCGAATATAGATTAAATCTAGGGATTAATTTTATTTTCATTTTTGTGACACCAATCCCGTTCAAAATATTTACAGATAAATAAATGAATAAAAAATTCAAAATAAATATGAATTGCATAACCTCACTTTATTGCGTAAATTTTAATCAACGTAATTAGAAAATTTAAATAAATATTTTTATTGAATATAGATTAAATCTAGGATTAATCAAGGGATTAATTTCATTTTCAATTTTGTGACACTAATCCCATTCAAAATATTTACATAAAAATAAATGAATAAAAAAATTCATACGTAATACTTTATTACGTAAATTTTAATTACGGAATTAAAAGTGAGGTTATGTTACGCATATTTATTTTCGATTTAATAATCACCGCACAAATCCCAGCAAAATTAAAAAGAAAATTAATTTCCGCTAAAAAACATTACAAATTTGTTTTATTTTTATTTTTTATTTACAAAAAGTATACTTTTTAGAGTTTTTTGTACGAATAATTCAGTCGATAAGACAGTTTGACATTAGCGATTGACGAAATTTTCATTTACGCGTATTTACCGGTATTTACATTAATTTCCAGTATTGACAAGTATTTACACGTATTTACACGTATTGACATTTATTTTGTGTATTGAATCGTATTTTTTTAGCTTTTTGACTTGTTCTCTGCCCCTAGGTACGTAGAATAGGCTGAACCTTCATATAAATACCTCCTCTCGAACTAACATGATTTCAAATCACATGCCCCTCTGCCAAATCGACAATTTTCAATATTCTTCCAAACTCTCGAATGTTTTGAGTTCTTAGAGAGCACTCTCAGTGTCTCAGCTCGTTTGCATAACTTTCAATCTTGACTTTTAGTACGAAGAATTGGCTTACCTGTCATATA